GGAATGTGGTGTCACAAAGCCCTATGCTGCTGCACATCTAAGCCACACTCTCCAGGATGTAATACCCCAAGTAAGCAACCCTCTATTTCTTCATCTCTAAAATGTGGGTTACAATATTCACCTTTTTTTTTTTTGAGGGTGAAATTGAGTAAAACATATGAACTTTTGCACATCACAGATGTTTAGATGTTGATTTCCTCTTCTTTCTTGCTCTTTTCTTCCCACATGGAAAGTTTCCTCTCCCCTGCCCTGACAGCTGACTGGGTAGCTTCTAACCCCCGTAGCCAAAGGCCTTGGCCTGGTAACTGTGGGCTGGGCCGTTTCTAAAGAACCAGTGGGCAGCACCTTAGGGAGTTTCTTTGCAGGAGGCTTTGTTTTGCCTTGCTTTGGTTTGCTTTGCCTGAAGAAGAATGAGGAAGTGGTTTCAGCAGGCACGTCAGGACAGAGACACACTTTGTGGCTGAGCCCCGTGGGAAAGAGGCTGCAGGCCCACCACCACCACTCTGGCCTCTGGGTGACCACGGGAGCCACAGAAGAGGGAGCTCGGTGAGTGTACAGGGCGGCTCCTGGCTCCATGGTGACCGAGGCTGCAGCCCAGGGTGGCAAGCGGACACTCCATAACAGTGCCCTCTGTTGGGTGACAGTGCTCTCCAGGAGGCCAGTGGCAGCAATGAGGAGCACATGGGTGACAGATGCCAGTGGGTGGGGATGACAAGAACAAGAAAATCAAAATACGAGGACCACGTATGCGTCCAAGCAAACTATTGGCAGGAGTCATGAAAATAGCCAGTGCGAGCAAGGAAACTCGGAAGAGTGCCACCGTTGGGCTTCCATTTGTCCACAGAGGCTAGTGAGTCCTGGGAAAACTCAAAGAACATACAGTTTATCTATCCATTCAGCAGAGCGAATGCTTCCTAAGCCCCTCGTAGGTGACAGGGCATCATGCTAGGTTCTGGGGATACAATGACAAGCAAGAATAGTTCTGCTCTGGAGAGTCTTACCATTGGGATACAATCCTGCCCTCTCTGAATAGCCCCTGTATATTCCCATAGCATACAAAATACTTGAGACATCGAGTTTATTTTTTAGTCCATGAGTTACTGTTGGTGCCTGTCACTCGTGTCCCCTGTCATCCCCAGTTAGTTCTTGGGGAGGTGGTGTTTGATAACAGGGCTTGTTTTTCCTATAGGCAGTGCATATAGTGTGAAGCTGTTAAACACCATTTATTGCCCCATCCTCCCTGAATTTGGGGGTCATAAAAAAATCACCTTTAGAAAATTAAATCAATAGAACCAACATAAAATGGATGAGATCGGCCACATTAAGGAAAGAAACCACCTTTTTGCTTTTCATTTATTTAATTTGGACTCAAGTGCACAGAATCAGATTAGTCAGAATCCTTGGTTCAAGACACACACTCTTCATTGGCCCATGAGTGCCCTGTTTCTTAATCTCTTTGATCATAAACAATAACAATCCACTAGTCAACATGAGATGTAGAACTCAATGAAACTTACATATTCCTAACTCATCCTGGTCCCCTACTTGTCACCCAATGTATTCACAATCTTGAATCTTGGGTTTCTCATTCTCTTGCTTTCTTAAAATATAGACAATTTTAAACTCTTACAATCACATGTGTGCTTTTTAAATATACATACATGCATCTGTATATAGTTAAAATATAGTTTTATCTCATATGTGCTCTTAAATATAGATATACATATATAGAGATGTATGTGTGTATGTAGCTAGATAGGTAGATAGGGTTTAGTTTGGGTTTTTTTCCACTTTATATAAAAGGGTATCATGCATTTGCGAGATGTATTATTTACTCAGTAATATATCTCTGAGATTCATCCACAGAATCACGTGTAGCTGTAGTTTGTTCATTCTCGCCACTGCATACAATCCCACTGAGCTATTGTATCTCAGTTTATGTACTCATTCTCTTGCTTAGTGGTAGTTGGGTTGTTTCTATGTTGTATTTTTCCTCTGTATTATGGAAATTTTAAATATGCACAAACAGAGAGAGAATGGTATAAGGAACCCCCATCACCCATCACCAGTGTCAACACCTGGCCAATCTTATTTCATCTATACTCCCACCCAACCCGGGGTTACTTTGAGCAAATCTCAACTATTATTCATAAATATTTCCGAATGCCTCCTAGAAAGATAACAACTCTTCTTTCAAAATGTAACAATCCCAATATCACATGTATTCCTTGATATTATCATAAATCCGGTGTCTGAAATTCCCCAGCATCTCCTATTATTCCTAACAGGATGACCCCACACTTCTGAATTGCTCAGGGGAGGAAATGCATAAGGGATGCAGTCAACGGAGCATCTAGAGAGTCATTGGCGGCAGTCAGCTTCTTTTCTAGGTCATTGCTGAAACTGCCAAAATCTGCAGGTGGGGCACTGCAGGAGGAGCCCCAGGAAGGAAGAGAGATGAAAGCTATACAGCACCCAAGCCAGGAGATCCGGAAAGGGCACAAGTACCCAGAGCCACTGTTTGCAAAGTCCTCACCTCTTGTTTCTTCTCAAACCTTGTTTCCACCTCCTTCACAGTTTAAGTTCCTGATTCAATGCTAAAAGTTCTCTGCCTGCCCATTTTTACTTCTCTCTCCATTTTTATATGCTTAGAAAACAGATGACGAAAGGGAGAGAAGACACTAAATGGAAAATTATAAAGGAGTCAAAAACTGCCCATAATTTCCTTGGTCTAAACCATCAGTCAGCGAACATTTTCTGTAAAGAGCCAGATAGTAAGGATTTCAGACTTTGCTGTCTCAACTACTCAGCTCTGCCTTCAAAGGGCAAAAGCAGTGTGGATGATACATAAACAAACAGGCCTGGCTGGGCTCTAATAAAACTGAATTCACAGAAACAAGGCAGGCTGGATTTGGGCAGAAAGCTGTAGTTTGTCTACCTGAGGTCGAAACAATACAACTGTTTTACTCCTGTATATTTCTCCTCTGTCTTTGATTATTAAATGCTAGCACTCTGAGATCATTCCTGGTATTATCCTCATTTTTCAGATGAGAAGACTGATGTACTATGAGATCGAAGAACTTGCCCAGGATCACTGAGGCGCCACATGATAAAGCTTGAATTGAACCCAAGAAATCTGTCTTTAAAATCCTTGCTTTTTTCTTCCTTTTCTAGCCACAAACAAATTTTACTATTGTTGTCACTATGTAAATTGCATAAAACAATGTAGAATGTTTCCTTAACATTACAAATATTTTGGTCTCACATTCTTGATAATTATAATTCATCATTGATGTGTAATTTTTCATCATCGCATTCATGAAGTTGCATTGAACCGTTTCATATGTCTAATCATTTCCTTTATTGAATTATTTTCTGAGATTAATTCCTAGAAGTAGCATTACTGGGCATTTCTATGACCCTCGTTAGTGGTATGCTGGGGAGAGGAGGGCTGACCTGTGGCATTTGCCTATTTCTATGCTGTAAATGCTCCAACAATGGCTGATTTTAAGCTACCGACATGAAATCTCAAAACTGACCTGGGATGAGATGACACGCTTGGCTCTTGCATGAAGGTGCAAGCTGGACCCAGCACCCCACTGGCTTGATACAAATTGCCTTTTTATTTCCTAGTACAAAATTATAAATGAAATTACACGGTGTGAGAGTGACTGTTTGAAAATGACCTTGAATATCACCTTTTAAAACTTGATAGTGTGTGAGTGCTTTGGTGTCTCAGCGTTGCTTTAATTTATTATATCTCTGATTATTACTGAAACCAATCATTTCCCCTGGTTCTTTCATATGTGTTTCTTCTGCCAATTTCCTGCTCACGTTCTTTCATTTATCAGGGTTATCGTGTCATAGTTATTAATTCCTTGAACTTGACTGACACAATTTCCTTTACATTTTGCTTTTATTATTTTGTCATGCAGAAATTGTAACATCGTGAAGCCTGTCAATCTCTTATGCTGGTGATTTTTCTGTTGGTAATGAACACAAGAGAATTCATCTCATTTTCATCTATTCTACAAATATTTACTAAATGCCAGTGTAGGGCAGTCATGATTTAAGGTAGTAGAGATACAGCTATGACCAAAATAACATCCCTGTCCTCATGGAGCCCCCACTCCAGTGGAGAAAGCAGACAGAAAATAAGCAAGAAAATATATAATGGAAGGGGTGGTGGTGATAAGTGCTGAAATGCCCCCAAGCAGAGTACAGGGGTAGGAGAAATGGAAAGAGGTGCTATTCAGAAGGGCCTCTGGGAAGGTCACATTGGAGCAAAGACTTGAGTGGGAGAAGGAGTGAGCCATGCTAGTTTTCCTGCAATTTGATTTTTTAAAATAATTTAATTGGATTTTATTCTTGGTGTATGATATAAGAGGCTCTGGTTATTTTTTTCCCAATGCATATGCAATTATCTCAATGCCCTTCTTTTCTCTTTATTTTCAGAAGCTTTGTTTATAGAGTTGAGGCTATTTCTCAGTTCACTAATATGTTCTAATGTGTATTTTCCTGAAAGTCTACTCTATTTTCATTGCTATTTGGGGGATCATCCTTTTGAAAAAAGTTCACCAATTCTTGCTGATTCTTTTTCTTTTGCATTCCTAAACCATTCTTACCAGTCTCAAAATGAAATTGCATCTTCCGGAAAGACAAATTATGTCTTAACTATCTTTGTATCTATAACACCTGTCATAGAGCATAGTAGCCAAATAGACTTTTAATATATTTTTTGTTAAATGATGAATAAGTTTTTAGAAGCTTTTACCTCTTATTCAGGTCTAAGGGTACCTCACTCTTTTAAATAGGTCACAAGTTTCACAGAGCTACTTTCCCAACCCATATTTGCTTCTGTCATTCAGTTTCAGAATAAACTTTAATTAGTTCTTCAGTTTTTTCCTACAAATCCACGATAAATGCAGCTGCTATGTTGAAAAACTGAGGAAAAGAACAGGGTCCCTCACCCACTTCCATAAGTAAGAACAGCATTTGTATTTGAATTATTTTATTTCCTTTATGTTACTTGGATAGAATTGAAAGTCTTGATGGCCAGTCTTTAACGCTGTCAAACCATATGCTTTTCCAGTTCTGTGTTTATACCATCTGTGCATCCATATTCCCCCCAATACGAAGAGGACCAGTGAAAGGGGGGCCAGTGCAATCTCCCAGGAGAATGTGGAGGCTGTAGGAAGAACAAAGTCACGTCAGGGATCAAATGTACTCTCGCCACCCAATAGGACAGTGCAGTGCAGGTTTAAAGGAAAGAAAGCCATTGGAGTTTGTTTTTCCTAAAACATGTGCACTGATTTTTAGAAAGTGTGTCCCTGACACCAAGATCAAAGACATTTGAGAATGATGTCTGTGGCATTAGGGAAACAAGCAAAATTGACCAAAAATCCATCAGCAACAAACAACACAGAGTTGAGGAGGCGGCAGGTGTCAAGGGTCTAACTTCGTTCCACCCAGGAAATAGTGTGCAGTACAAGGTTGCCTGCTTAGGTCTCAACAAGCCAATTGTGACATGGCCAGGGTACTGTTTGCCCTTTTCCAACAAGGAGATATGTCATCAAGGTTCAATAAAGCAACAAAGGAAAAGAAAACAAACTTTGAAAAAGGGAGCTTCAGGTGTCAAGGTTATTGTATGGGCCCAACTATTTTATATTCTACTCCTCGGATTCTCTGTGTTATGAAAATATAGGAAGAGACTACAAATAAAAAATTAACAAGCAAACACAAGAATATTGCGTTAATAGACAACTTGATAATGTGGCCATATGTTTAAGCTCATCATAGTCTGTCTAGGCACCAGGAATCAACACAACCTCAGACTATTTTCTCCGAGTGATTCTTATACCTCACAATCCCATGAGTCTTAAAATGAGTGAAGCTTTAATATTCTGAGCAGCCATTTGAATGCACCTGTCGGTCCCGGTGAAAGCCTTTCAGCTGTGCTTTCTACACTCTGTCATGGCCAATCCAGCAAAGATACGCAGAGACACGGCTCGTGCTATAGAAATGTTTAAAGGTTCCCAGCATCAGGCCCACACAAACCGCAGGTTCCTTTTGGTCACTAATCTGAAACCCAACAGTGGGTTCTGTCCTCTGTGGACTCCTCCATTTCCAAGACTGAACCGCCACCACCTATCTGAGCCATCAGCGTTTGCATATGCGTCCTAGGACAAGGGGCCCAAACTTTAGTATGAAAACAGCGTGCTCAGTTGCAATCCCTGGCCTCACCCCAGGAGAATGTGACTGGGTAGATCTGGAGTGTGCCCAGAGATTTGTATTTTCAACAAGTGAGTAATGCTGGTAGTGCACAAACTTCTTTCTGCAGAAAAGTTGTGTAGTGTTGTCATTCTCTGCCCTGAGGCCTCACAAAATCCTCAGCTTTCCAATTAGAAAGTTATCTGCAGCTGCCTCCCCAGCAAACATGGAGAACGTGGAGCAATTTGTATTTATTTGGTTGCTGCAGACTGCCCAGAAGGCACAATGGGATTCCAGCTGGGGATGACTTTGGCTTGGCTCTTGGGCTGCCAATGGATCACATTACCTGCGATTCCAGCTGGGGATGACTTTGGCTTGGCTCTTGGATCACATTACCTGTGTCTCCCTCTCCTGCTCAGTGCTTAAACATTAAGGCATTAATTTGGTCAAAATGATAACGTGGGTTTGTCTTTCCTTCATTTTTTAAATGTCCTTATATGAACACTGGGTTGATTTGTCTTGTACTGTATTTCCTGTTAATTGATGACTTGAAGCCTAAAGCTGCCCTGAGCCCTGGATATCTCTCAGTCTCTGGCTCTTGGAAGATAGGTTTCTTAATTTTGGGGTGAAGAACCTCCCACCCTCCTGGAGGGTCATAAAGGACAGCTGATCCTGCCAATCCACGTAGAACCACCTGGGGTCACAGGGCTTCTTAGAGTTTACCTCAGAATTATTTTCTCTTTTTCGAAACCCCTTCTTAGAGTTTACCTCAGAATTATTTTCTCTTTTCCAAAACCCCTTCTTAGAGTTTACCTCAGAATTATTTTCTCTTTTCTGAAACCAACTTGCTATTTAAACTTCTATGTGAATATAATCTCCCAAGGCCAGCCACCACCCAACCAAAACAATCATAAAATATGCTCTTAGTGCTCTACTGATAGGAAATGAAAGGGACTTGCTAAATAATCATCTGGAAAACTAGTAGCCTTGTTCAGCATCCACAGAACAGTCAACATGTTGTTTTCCCCTTTAATGTCCCCAAAATACATACCTTCTTTGACTGTGGTATGCAGCATCTGAAAACTCAGTGTATTATGAACAACACATTTAAAATCCGTGTTCAAATCCTCTCTTATGACTGGATTGAAAATCAGTGGCACTTCAACGTAGTTCTCATTATTTTCTGAGTATTCCCTGAGTGAGGAAATATTTACTTAAACACGATGCATCAAACGCAAGCTTGTCTTTCCATCGCAGACATCCAAAAATTCTCAATTAGAAGGATCCATTGTACTCACATTGATTTCAAGATTCAGAAAGCTATGACCACTTGCCATTGTATTTGTTACTTGTTTGAGAGAATTTCTAAGCCTGTTAGTCACCGTAATAAGACACATGTTACAAGGAGAACCTACTTTGGACCATGGAAAATTTCATTTCTTAAGGCCCTTGATGAACAAAGAACCAATAGTGGGAAGAGAAATGTATGCTTTGGGGAAACTTGCATATTGAAGGCTAGGGAGTTTCCAGGAATCCAGCTTCCAGCAGTGTCCTCCCATCATCTCCAGTGCCAACTCTCATTCTGAAAGTAAGTTCAGAGCACAGGGCTGCAGACAGGCCAGGGAGAATAACTCTCGGCAGACTAACTGCCATTTGTAATGCTATAGGAATCTGAAGATGCTTTACTACGATGTATTAGCATAAATAAAAATGTCATTGATATGGATCCACTAGGACTGTTTTTTTTAATCTATGGGTGGGAAATAGGCTCCTTTAAGTAAATGGATAGTATGAGTAAGCTGACATGGGCACTTTAGTTTTGCAATGAGGACTTGCAAGCAAACAATTGTGCTAATCGTACATAATTTTTATCCGCCCAATTGCATCCAGAAAGATCTTTTTGATAGGTCTTTCAAAGAAGACAAACTTTGGCAAGTCAAATTTCAGGCTAGTTCTGAGTATTGAAACTATAATTTTTAAAATCTGTACTTTATAATTTAGAACATTGAATGGTCTCCCTTCCTCATACACAAATGGTTCCCATTTACAAGGTATGATTGTTCTACATTCAGATTGAGAAAACGTTCTCCAGAGATAAATGTTTACGAGAACAGAATTCTATCTTTTTATAGTAACCTTCCTTAGAGCCTGTGGCAGCCCAGACCTCCCTGAGAAACAGAAGAGGCTCTCAGATACTGTGGCTAAGTTTACTTTTAAGGGTTTGTGAAAATGTTTGACACTCAGGTTGCAGAGTGTGAAATGGAACTAAATTAACTCCAAAGTATTTTTCTTAACTACAACAATCAAGAAATAAATGTTTGATCAAACACTTGGAAATGCAACCTCATTGCCAAGTAGCTGACTGCAACTCAACTCTTACATGGAAAGTCTGACTCTCAAGAACTACTGCTAATTCTTAGCAAATTTCAATTTTATTTTTTAATTCTAAAAATCAAATAGTTTAGAATAGAAAAATTATTTTGAAAGAGGCATGTGTTTCACATCCCCAGATTGGATATGACGTGGTCTCTGAAAAAAAATGCCGATGGAGGTCTCACAACAGCTCCACCTGGAAGACACCTCTAAGCTGACAAACACCTTCATCCACTTACAGGCGCTGCCCCTCAGTCACACGGCCTTCCTGGTAGGCGCTCTCTATGTTGGTGTTATTGGCCATCCACCACAGCACGGTGGTCGAGCATGCGCCAGCTCCCAGAAACACCTTGCACGGGATTGTCAGTCTTGACCCTGTGGATGGCAAGACACAGCAGACTGAATGTCAGAACCAGCTGGGGAACAGGGGTCGCCCCAGCCCCTTGTGTCAAAATCTGAATTTTGTAGGGGAGTCCTTAGCCATCTCCTCAAACACTCCTCACCAGCCAATTCTTTTCTTAGAAGGAAACTTGTTCCCTCCAACAAGTCCCTTCACATAGAGCATCAGTTTTTATCCAGTGTCTCCAGTTCCTTCAACTGGTCTTCATGGTAGATGAAAACCCAAATGGGCTTCCCCCAGGCCCCTTGGCTCCTACAGGGCATTCAGAATTCAGCAGCTGTCTTCTTCCACAATTGATCCTACTCAAGCCCAAAAAATCCAGATTAATACATGGATTCTTGCTCTTAGCCTATTGCTGGTCTCACCTCTCTGTTTCCCCTGGCAACTCTCCATTCCCAGATCATGTTGGTTTAGAATTAACCCTTTAACAAGCCATGTATTGTATATAAATGGTTCCTTCTGTACTTGTGCACCGTGATGTAGCCGGTGTCCCTGCCTCAGTCACTGTGAGCATGTTTTTTAAGTTATCAAAGAAGAGAAGGCGGGGGTGGGGGGGCGGGGAGCCACCAGGATGCCCCGGGCAGCTTTTCCTTCTGGAAAATGGGAGAAAGAAGACCTTCCTACAGGGTTGCTTGTCGGGCTCGATGGCATCTCACAAGACAAAGTAATATTCAACCAAAAAGTGCACGCTAGCCCTGATGGCCTGTGCCACAATGGGGAGAAAAACGGAAAGCCTTATCAATCATTTCAATCATCCCACCAGCTGACCAGTTATTTTAGCAACAAGAGACAGTCTCTGAGGGGCTAGCAGTAGCTGGGTTGGCATCCTTTTCAGTCTCTCATGCTGGGCTTCTAGGCTTGACAGTCTCTGAGGGGCTAGCAGTAGCTGGGTTGGCCTCCTTTTCACATGGAGTCTTAGGGAAATGCTGAGCGTCAGCCACATCTTGATAAAGTGAATTCTTCTAAACATACTCCAGAAGCTGGCTCTGAATGGGAATCATGTCTTTAGACCTTTCCCACAGTAAGTAATGGCTCCCAAAAGGTTCAGATTCTTACATTAAATTTTTGTAGGTAGAGTTTTCATGAAACAAGATAAACCTGCTTCAAACAATGCCATTTCTAACAACATTTGGTGCAGGGAAGTGTTCCCTGACATTTGTTATTTCAGCCTCTCACGCTGGGCTTCTAGGCTCCCCACCCAGGAACACTGCACCCAAAGGCACAGGCGCGGTCACAGACAAAGGCGTCCCGGGGCCCCGTGGCTTTGGCGTCTCAGGCCCCACTGTGGGTTACACATCCTTGCAGGCCTTACCCAGAGAAGCTAAAATGGTCTGGTGGGGAGAGATGATCACAGGAACCGTCTCCTCTTCTTTTTCTGAGAAAGATGTGGGAAAGAGATTCAATTACGAAAGCCTGCATTTCAAGCTGAGGTCCAAGGGCCATTGTTTGGCTAACTAACTGAGTTATCCTTGACAATATGGCCAGTCACTGTGGGATTTGACCTTTTTCTGGCAAAGGAAACAGGCTCTCCACAACTGAGTATCCTGGGTCAATGCCTTTCCCAGAAGAGAGATTACTGGAAGAAGCCACAGTTAACACACATTCCACTCATAGATGTTCTTTGCTCTATGATTAACAATTAACCATTCCCCTCCCTGGCTTCCCCAGTGAATTCTTAATAGGTTTTACCCCACAGTCTGCTTACCCTAAAATATTTCCCTCTACTCCATTCTCACCTCCCCAAGTGTTTGCCACGGAATACTGATGAGTCACCTCAAAAAAAGAAAAAAAAAAAAAAGAATCACGGGGGCTTGAGAACAACTTGTTTGTAATGCCCATCCTACACTAAGCGATAGCGTGACTGGGTCGGCCACTGCCTTGTTAACTGAGGAACTAACTCTTTGAGGGAGGCAGAGGCGGACGTCCTAGGAATCAGAACTCAGCTCCCCAATCAACTTGAAGAAATAGGGTACCTGAATTACAGCAAAAAAGACAGGTTGAGGATAGGCAAAGCGTTGCTTGCTCCATAACTGCTTGCTCTGTCCTCACTTCCTCCACTAAGAGCATTCCAAACTCTGACACGAATAAGCATTAGGCAGCCTCACAGTAGAGCCCAAAGTACAAGTGGCTTCTAGACTGTGACCAGGATCCTCTCCTTCACACGGCTGCTTTTCAGAGGTGGGGGCAACAGAGAGAGGAGACGGACGCTTCAAGGACTTGATGCATCAATGGGTCTCGAACTTGAGGACTCGGCATCACCTGGGGGGCCTGTCAATCACAGAGTGCTTCGCTGCCCTGGGCCCAGTTTCTAATTTAGTAGATCTGGGACAGGGCCTGAGATTTTGTTTGTCTAACCAGCACCCAGGTGATGCGGCTACTGCTGGTGCAAGGACCCCTGAGACGCAGTGTGATCACAACACACCGTAGGGTAATATGTGCGTCGGCCGCCCCCTGGTGCTCCTGTGCAGTATCACATAAACAGGATAATTATGGACCCCTGCAAAGTCATAGGAAGTCACAGTGACCCGCTAAGTGGAACCAGGGAGTTGAGATAAACAAATCGCCACAAGACAGTAAAAGAAATCTAAAGTAGAGATTTCAGTTTATGGGAGACACGATGTTTCCCGTAGTAAAATTGCATCTCTGGATTCTCCAAGAAAAAAAGTTAGTCTTTTCTCCTCATGGGCCAATTATTTAACCTTAATATATTTCCAAAGCTCTCTGGAATGCCCTTAATAGACTCCAATTATATAGTTATTCAGTATTTAATAAAAAGTGGCCTACGCCCCAGGGCAGAGTCCAGGGCTTAATCACTTTAATGGCCCTTGCACCAAGGTTGATGTCCAGCACGTAGTAGGTGTTGAACAAATATTAAACACTAATCAATACTGTTCACATTATTTTCAAGTAGGAATCATTTAAACCAAAAAGGGCACTCACTACTTATAATTCTGGTTTCAAGGCAACTAGATATGCCTTGGAGAGGACCAAAAAAGGGCAGTTTCTCTGGATATGCCAATGCATAGCCTTCTAACTGAAAAACCCAATAAAATCCTAGTATCCTAGAATTACACGTAATGTTACGGCAACCATCTGGGGTGGCTGGCCCTGGAGGCCCAGTTCTCCAAGTGTGACGGTGTTTGGCTCCCTCTAGTGGCGCCTTTAGCCTCAGACTTGAAACCCTATCAACCACCCAGCGGTTGGTCCGCCTTTCCGCAAAGTAACACCTTTCTTTCTACATTCCAAGGTGGCACACGCATGTCTTATTAGTCTGCTGTTTTAAGAAAGTTGACATATCTGTTTTCCTCTCCTACCAAAGACATTCAAGAAATTCTATGTGGACCCTAGTTTGTCCTTTCAGTGCTTGTTATTGACGGCAGGGTGGAGGGGTACCTTGGTCGCGAACACTTACTGTTGATGCGGAGTTTGATGTTCCTAGTGACGTTGTATAGCGTGCCGTTGTGGGCAAATGCCACAACACAGCTGTAATAGCCCCCGTCCTCCACAGACACATTGTGTATGAGTAAGCGCGTCGTCCCTTGCACACTTAGAAACTTCTCGTTGGCTTGATCCAAAAGGACAGAATCCTTAAGAGAAAACGTTGTTCGAAGTTACACGATATATACTAATTTATATCTCAAAAGCTATGAATGGCATCGGTTTTTATCAATGTTGAATTCTCCCTGTTACTTACTTTGAGAATGTTGTGCTTTGGATAAACTTTTAACTCTATTTTTAGGAGAGGGAGTTTGTTAACCTATGAAACAAAATTGCTAGATTTGTTTAACCACAGTGTTTAAAGCATATTTACTTAAG